AGCTGATTGGGAGCAGGTGTGAACAGAGGCTTAAGGAAAAGGAAACCAACACAAGAGGGCAACAAAGAAAAGCCTAAGAACTCAAATAAACCCCAAAACACAACAAAATAGGAATTAAAATAATAAAACTAGAAAACAAAGAAAAAGATGAATCAACATGAAACTGAAAACTCAAAGAAAACTTAACAGAATCAAGACCATAACGGTATGATAAACAATAAAACACCTTTTTTTTCTTGACTTTAATGGTTATACTTGTGTTACCTTCAGATATCTACTAATAAAAGGAGCAATATTGAAACAGTTTCTTGCTCGAAATCGTATTAGCATATATTTGTTCTTTTTTATGTAATTCTTTTGTTATATCGGTTTGAAGAAACAATTCTTTTTTTTTCATCGCAGATACAAGATCATATGTGGTGTGAAATTAAAACTGTTGCTGTAGCAGGCTGCTAGGTCCGTTGTGGAGTAATCCAGGGACTCTGTGACTGACAAGCTTCATCTACTGTCTCTCCACCCCACACTCCAACATGCGGTACACGATCCTCTGTCAACACCTGCCAATCAGCGTCTCCTTTGTTGGCAACTACCCAATCCCGTGTTGCAGTTACACCCGTTCCATTTGATTGACAGGGTTGTGGAGGGGCGGGGTGATGGGGGACTGATGGGGATTGGTTAAGGGTGCACGGGAATTGAGGGGCTGATGACATAGATGGAAGCTGAAGTGGATGGGAGCAAAGGTGTGAATCTAGGCCTCCAACAAACGGGCCAAGGGGCAAGACTCATTAACATACAGTCAACTGGTTAGTGTGCAAAAGTGTGTGTGTGTGTTTGTCTGGAGGGGAGTGTGTGTTTGACAGTCAGTATGAAGGAGCTGCAGTAGTAAAGCCTACAGGCTGCCTGCCGCTTTCTGTCTGCTTTAATTGCTTGTAGCCCCAGAGACTGCACACAGACACACACATGCACAGCACACACATCACCACGGACACAGGATCCAGCCCAGGGAACTCCTCCACACAGCAGTGCTGACAAAGAGACAAGGTTTACACGGCTAAGATGGGAGCTGAACATCGAGGTCTTTCACTGACGATGACAACAGCTCACTGCCGGGATTGTGTGAAGACATCAGAAGGAACAGGATCGACAGGAGCTTTGGGAGCAGACTAAGTCAACCAAGTAAGACCAAGCATATTTTATAGCTGGATATCTCCCTGATAAGTTATGAGTAAACATGTGAGGAATAGCCTGATATCGGGTTGTTCCTGTGTAATGTCTTTAGTTGATATCTTTAAAGTGTTTTTTATTGTTGCAAAGCTGTCAAATCTTCACCAAAGAGCATAATTCTACTTAAGTATTTATCAATTTTGCAGTTCTCCTGACAATTAAACAACAATCTCTACATAAACATTAGGATTAGAAACTTCTGTACTTTAACGCAACATTACAGTTTATTTCAGGAATAAAAAAGTCCCTGGAGAAGAGCATAAAGTATAGGCACTTATGTGTGGCGGCTGTGGAGGGGCTCATTATAAAATCAATACTCACAGGACCACTCTCATTTAAAAACATGGCGGGGAAAAGGTCAGCGAAAGCGATGGAAAAATCTCAATCTAATTCTTGCTCAAAAAACCACTTAATATTGGATTCTGTAAATTAAATTTCACACTTGGCTATTCTGGCCAAAGGATAATTGCAGCCAGCAAACGAGGAGGAATAAAAATAACCGGAGGTTGGAAAAAAAGAGAAAATCTGTTTACTTTGATGCCTTAAGTTTTGTACAAGATATTAACTTGTGAAACAAAACAGTGCTCATTTGTTAAAAACATGACTAAGAAATCTTTCTTAGCAACTAGTTCCTGCAGTTTACATAGCAGAAAGTTTAACTTGAAACAAAGAATAATTGGCAAAAATGTATTAACACCCTCAAATACATGTCAAAGCTGAAAATAATTGTAAAGAAAGAGTTTTAATAATTCAAAGTTCAGGGTTCATAGACATCTGTGGAAATATGTAGAAAACTCCAGTAATTCAAAAGCTTGTCCTCATCTTCATTAAATAGAATATTTTTTTGTATTTCGACAGGACAGATGTGTTGGGCTGAACCCTTTAAGGCCAGAGGAGCTGGCAAATCACAGTGGTTTAAGCTATAACATGCATAATTCAAACCATACAAGCATCAGATTTGAAGTACAAAGCATCATGCTACCTACATCAATGGAACTTTAGCACCACAGTGCTGGAGACTCCATATGTAAAGTTATCCAATCAAGCAATTATCCATCCATCTTATTATGCTGGTGCCTATCTCCAGCCGTCTATGGGCGAGAGACAGAGTACACCCCGGACAGGTCGCCAGTCCATTAGGTGTGTAAATCACATCCATCATGGCGATTCGATTCAGTATTGATTTCCTGACCCAACGATTCGATTATTTTCGATACTCAAGAATACACCACGATTCAATTTGATTCGATTCGATTAATCGGTTAATTTGTTTTTTTTTTGTTTTTTTTTACACCTTACAGGCTAAACAAAGTTTCAAGTTTGAAATAAATCAATGAAAGCTGTAATTTCGTAATGCATTTTTTTTTTAGAAACAACAGCAAATAACAGAAGTAGAGAAGTTGTATAAAAAAAACCCAGCAAAAATACACAATCAGTGCAATCAGTGCAATTCAATACCTCGGCTCCAGACGCCCCGCCCCCTTGAGAGACGCTCCGCTGCACCTCTCCCAAATTGTAGCTGACCGCAAAAAGTGCCACAGACAGGAGGCCGGCTTGTTTTGTTTTTATGACCGAAATTGCGGAAAACAACTCGTGAAGTTTGACCCGCTAGAAGAGGGAGTTGCGCAAGAAGGCTGGTATCCTTTTTCCACCTGGATCTCCGCTCTTTTTGGCCCTCATGTCCTTCCGTCGTGGGACTAAACTCGCCCCCACTTCCTCGCCGCCTCGGCCGTATCTAGACCCACAGTGTGTAGCACAGACCACGCTTCAATATTGAGCATAATTTAAAAATGTCTGTGTCAAGCTCACAGCAACACACTGCTGCAGCAGGATAACCAGGAAGCGCGGTAGGAGGGCAAAATAGTTTTAGCGCCACCGCAGTACGGAAGGAGAATTCCGCCCAGGAGCAAATGGATAAAAATAGACCGGAGGGGGAAAAAAAACATGAATCGATCATCTTGCGGACGTGTCGATGCATCGGATCGTCGGCTGTTGGATCGATGCAAAACGATTACTATTTACACCCCTACAGTCCATTGCACGGAAACACAGAGACAAACAGGACAAACAACCATTCACACACACTCACACCTAAGGAGAATTTAGAGAAGCCAATTAACCTAATAGTCATGCTTTTGGAATGAGGGAGGAAGCTGGAGTACCTGGAGAGAATCCACGGATGCACAGGGAGAACATGCAAACTCCATGCAGAAATCTTCCCGGGCCAGGGATCGAACCCGGAACTTTCTTGCTCAAACACAGCAGTGCTACACACTTCACCACTGAGCAGCCCATCAAGCAATCAAGTAAAAAAATTAAATAAAGCTTTGAACTATATATATATATATATACATATATATTTTTTATTTATTTATTTTATTTTTTTTTATTTTCATAGTTTAGTACTAATACGTTACCTAGTCATTAAAATCAATAAGCTTCCTTTGTCATTTGGTTCTCACCATTAGATTAAGTAATCCAAAAACATAACATGTTTTTAAGCATTTTGTTTAGTATTAAGATCAATGTTTAGTATTAAGATCAATGAGAGGTGCTTAGTGCCTATTTCCAGTGGACATATAATTGAACTTTATTAATCTCACGCTGGAGAAATTCACTTCTGCATTTAACCCATGCCCTTGGGGAGTAGTGGGCTACCATTTTGTCGCACCCATGGAGCAGTGTGGGGTCAAGGGTCTTGCTCAGGGACCCAGAGTTGCAGTCTGCAGGAGTGAAGCTGGAACTCAGAACCACTGGGAGCCGAGCACAATGCCCTAACCACTAAACCGCCACTCTGACATGAAAGAGAGATGAGTCACACCCTAATACTAAGGTTGCAAATAATGCTCCAAATAACAATTTAAGGTTTTCTTTTTTTCAGCTGAACTTATAATCAGCTAACAGGTTTTTGTTTCCTTAATGGTCAATAGTTATTGATTTAGTTAAATTAATAACAGTGTATGCAAATTAGATTGCATTAGATATGCAAGGTGACAGCTGATGGTTTTTTCAGCTTCATCCAGTCTCAAGAATAAGATAAGTAAATGCAACATCTCCAAGAAACTATGGCTGGGGATAATGCAGACACTTTACAGTGTGGAAGTTGTAATTGCAGGAAAGTAAATACCAGTGGGGTGTTTAGAGTCTGAGGTACCATAACAGATGCAATAGGAATGTCAAAAGGGCTCTGTTTTCTACAGAGGCATACTGAAGACATTCAAAATCAACATCATAAGATCCTAAAGTTTCAAAGTTGGACCGCTTGATCAAATCTTATTTCAAAATGATATAAAAATATATTGATATATTTTGTCAAGTGATCTTTTCCATCCATGCCGTTGCTCCTAATACAAATAATTAATGAAAACATTAAAATAAACATTTATTTTTGCCGTCAATTTTAGTTTTTAAAGAGAGATTGACCAGATTAAAATTTGTAAATCAGAAATTACCCACAATTCTCTGATTAGTGTGTCAAAATTTAGCAAAGATTATAAAAAAAGAATATGAGATAACCAGGTTTGGGAAATTAGACCTGAACCTAAAATAAGATTAAGTGATGTCTTGAGTGATCTAGCAGTTTATGTTAAAAAAGGAGACCAAAGAAAAAAAAAAAAACAAGTCAGCCATTGCTTGGTAGAACATAAATGACTGTTTTCTTTACCAATATACATGTACTTTGTTTGGTATATGAAAAATTAAACCACAGAACTAAAATATAAAAAAATAATTTAAGCTGTCTCATTGGATTCAGAGGAGCAAGTTACACCTCCTACCTGATAGGTGGCAGTAGCATCGCTGCCACTGTCTGTGCCCAGGTTGGTAAGCTTCTCCTTGAGCTTGTGATGAGAGCGGTGGCGGAGGCAGTAGACCACAGTGGAGGCCAGCAGCACACAGACGATGCACAGGATGGACACAACTGTGAGGATGAGGAACTTGGTGGACTCTCCCTGGCTGTACTTGGTGGGGATCTGCTTGATCTGGCTTCCCTTTAGGTGAAAAGGAGAAGAAAGAAATTATTCTCATAGTTTTGGTCTCTTTCCTGGTCTGTTGCACATGGTTAGTTTCATGCTTCAACAAAGTGTGGTATAGTTAACTCTGTAAGAAAGCTTAAATTAAACAAAATGTGGATAAAAACGGAAATATCCCATATTGGCTAATCATTTTTTAATGGTTAAAAAAGAGATAAAAAAACCAAAAACAAACAAACATTCCAGTAGGAGTAATGGTTTATTTTAACCATAATGGACAAACACTGGTGGTAATTTTGCAGCTCCTGATTGGTCAATGAAGGGTTGAGCAGTCAGTTAAATGATGAAGGATTCTAATTTAAATTAGCATAAACTTGCAACAAATGACACCTTGTGCTATTTATAAAATAAATATTTCAAATCAAATTTCATGCAGTTTAGTCTGAATAATCCACTGAATTTAATTCCCTGTAGAACCAAATTATTAATCTGTAGGTTAAATTGCATTTTCTCTTTTTTCATGTCTCCTATCAATGCAATTTACATGTAACAGTTGTTATTTTTACCAATTCATAACCATTCTTTTTAAGTGTTTGTATTTTAAACTTGGTCAAAAATACTTGGAATATTGAATTCTGTTTTGCTTATTTTAAATGTAATTTTAATAAGAGAAGCAAGGGTTTTAATAAGATAATAAAAATGTTATAAAGAAAACGAATTCCTGCAGTTTATGAATACAAACTCTGACAGAAAAAGACTAAAGAATAAAGGATTTTAAAAGATGGCTGTAGAGGAAAAAAATATTTAAAAAAAGCATTTTCAAATTTACATTATGTTTTGCGGGCTTAGCATGGAGCTTATCTGTATTTCACCTTAACAGCAAACAGATTGGTAGTTTTACACTGAAGTAAAGGCTGCATAAAATATGTGTTAAGATGAATTAATTTAGGTGCTACAGTATTAGTGACAGAATCTAAGAAGTATTGGGCACACAATCACCCTCCGAGTTAGCACTAAATGTAATAAATGACTGCTCTGAGTGAAGCTTAACAGTTACAATTAGCTTTGATCTAAACAGTTTTTTTTAAAGGTCTTGGGTTCTTTCCAGATAAATTGAGTGCAAATTGTTCCACGGCTACTTCCTCCTCTGTAAAGAGTCCTGATTCATCCACTTTGTTAAAAATTGTATGATTTGGGGTTGAACCGCAGGGGGGTACAAAACATCCACTTAAAAGTGAGCATGCTTTCAGGTGATTTTCCTGATCAGTCAGACAAGAGGAACTAATCTGGGATACATCTGGCAGTGTGTGGGACGGGAACAACCCTGCAGGCTGTTGGAGCGCAACGGCATGCTGTTTGATGCCCCTGGATTAAAGCATCCGCAAAAACAGACCAAAAAAGGCTAACTGACAAGATAATCTGTGTGAAACCCAATAAGAGCGTGAAGCTTTTTTTGATACTAATGATTCCCCCTGCTAGAAGGAAATTTACAAAAGTCGGCAAAACCTGCATAAAATTTTGCATGATAAAGATCATTTCTTTAATCTACCTTTTTACTTAATACATTGCACTTCATAAGGCAGCTCTACAAACCTCAGTTAATCCACAGGTACATCCAAATAGAAGTTAAGGATGGTCTGTTGACCCCGGCTGTAGTTTAACAATACCTGAGGATCAGATCCCTCAGCAAACAAGTAGAGATTAAAAGAAAGACCTTCCAGTCCAATATAATTCTCCAAATAGGAAAATGAAGACAATATACATGATGAAAGCCTGCCCCGCTTTATAATTGTGTATCAAAAACGAAAAAAAAAACCCTACAACAATTTGCAGAAGAGGAATAGTGTTTTATTGAGCTCCTAATTAAGTGCTGCAGTTCCAAACTGCTGTTTGCTGTTCTTTTTCAGGGCCTATTGCATGATTCTTTTGAAGTGACAAACTACGAGGTAACAAAAGCTAACATAATTTCCCCTTATAACAATAATTATAATAACATGCAGCGTAACAATGTTGGCAACAAAGACGGAGGCAAGAACCAAAAGGAGGGGAGCTGCAAATTGCACTGCCAATAACAAGCATGACAAAAACTGTTCAGCAGAAATCAATAGCAGAAGCAGCTCGTCTCGTTTTTGCAAAAGCGATTCCTTCCCCTTTTTTTTTGCTTTTTACGTTGGGAAATCTAGTTTGCGACGCTGGGTTTCTTTGCATCTGAGAAAAGCAGCAGGTTTTCGCTTGTATTGAGAGGAAAACAGAGGGGGGTGAAACAGAAGGGAGAAAAAAACCTGTCCCTCAGTTGAAGAGGTCACAGAGATTAGGCGAGGAGCAGCGTGGTAAGTTAATGGAATGGAGGCTTTGAGAGCAATGCAGTGGGGAGAAAAGGGGGACAAGTCCTCCTGAGTCCTTCCTGCCTGCCTGTCAGCAGAGGGAACTCCAGGAAGAGGGAAAAAAGGAGTGCCGCACACAAATCGGGAATTCTTGTGAGATTTCAGGGTGCCACTCCCCTTAGCCAAGACTACCCTTTCTTCCTTCCTCAACACCATCACCAGCATAACACTCGATAATTCCTCACTCAAACCCCCCTCCTGTATGAACGCATTCATGGCTGCTGCTGCATTCAGCACTTAATAAAGAGCGGCCGCAGAAAGACCCTCAGTGAGGGTCAGCGCTTGTCCGCTGCTTTGCGGGGTGTCCAATTTTCTTGTGCAGATTTCGGGTGCATTGTGAGAGCTGGTTGTAATGTGACGAACCACAAAGCAAATGAGAAGGAGGGATTTCTTAGGAAAATTCAACTAAAACCATTGATGGCAGTTTATAAATATAATTCAAACTTAATGCAAGAAGGATAATTACATTACACCTCTATGGCTGCACATATTAATACAGACAACTGTAAAAGTAGAAGAAATTGATTGCTTTTTTTTCATTGTTTCTTTTTATTAATGGGATTTTAATGCAAAAGATTGCAGCAGAATAAGCAGCCTTTAAAGAGGCATCATGAAGAAAAGTGGCTGAGCAGTAGTCTGTAAGTGTTGTGGGCTTGGCACGGCCATTAATAATGAATTATTGCTGATCCCACACGCTTCCAGCAAAGTAATGTTTGGTTAAATGTATTTTTTTTTTCTTTTTTTTTTCCCTCCCCCTCTTCAAACCCACAATACTGCGGACCAAATAAATTCATTTGTCATTTTCCTCCCTGAGTCATCTCATTGTTTTGTCAAATTAGGTTTCATGGAGAGCCATCGCGTTGCACGGCAAGTAATGGTCCATAATTCAGGGCTCTAACTGTAACAGCTCAGTCATCTTTCACGGGACAGATGCCGGCATTTCCAAAGCACACTTCCCCCTCTTCCTCCTCCCACCTATTCCACCTCATTCTCAGCTCTCTTTATCATGGCTGCCTAGCATGTCTGTCTATTGATTCAAACAAATGTTGCCTGACCCCACCTGCTTAATCAAGTTTCGTTGCTGTTGTTAGTAACAGTAAGGGACTGAAGGGGTTTGTGTGTGTTGGCGCTGATGAAAAACATGCAGCCATTCTGCGAATGCTGCTTAAGACACATAGCAGAAATTCATAATGATGGAGAATGAAATGTTTGCTCCAGATGGGAGGTGGAACACTCACATATGCACATGCATGCATCAAACCGTGCAGTCTGCTCTGTGATGTGCAGCTCAAGGCGAGTATGTTAATACCTCTATCTCCATCTACGTGTGCTATCTATACCGTGCTATACGTGTCGAATAATAAGAGGTTATCAGCTCAGCTCTGCAGCTTCGTGGCCTTTCGCTGTTATCCCTCCTGTGGCTTAACACTTACTTAAATTACATTTCACAGTGGCTTAATGGGGGAGCTATGTCTACCAACATGAAGAAAATATTCATTTTATGCACATACATTCATGTAAAGTAATTCATTTTAAGATATACTATTTTTTTCGTAGGAAGAAATAATAATAATAATTGTGTTTTAATTCGGGGATTTTCAAATAAGGAAAACCACCACCCGAAAAAATGCTAAAAATTGAAGGGATTCCCTTCCATGCTTCCACCCCCTATTGTCCATCTGCTCTTACAAAATTCATTGTAATTGCAAATCTTTTTGTTTCACATACACAATTTGACAGAAGATTTTTTTATCTCATCACGAGTGTGGAATTTTAAGAAGTCTTCATTCAACCCAGACAGGATGCCTTCTGCCATCAATCTACCTCCGGATTCATCTTTTTGCAAAATAGGAATAAACCAAAGACAGAAAATACTGAATTCAAGAAGATTAATTTAAAATTCCACTATCCATTATACTACCAACTTTAGTATTAATGACTATAATATACGTAGTTAGCATATTTTGCTTTGCTCACAAGAACTTACGATTTAGTGGAAAAAATTAAAAAGGCAAGACTTAAGGTGTTTTTTTTTTTTTTTAAGTTATCAAGACGTCCCGGATTAATGCTTTAGGGGCAGTTGATGTGTGTTTAGGTGTGTGTGTTTGTATGAATAGGGGTGTGGATTAGCCCGGCTTCCATAGACAAAAGGCAGATGGATTTCCACGGCTTTGGCTTATTCAGGGTGACTTAAAAAAAAAAAGAAAAAATAACAGAAAGGGTCAGAGGGGGGCAAACCACTATTGTTTTCCTCTGCGATGACTTGCAGGAGGAAACAAAGATCTGTCCCTCACCACTGATTCATCCTGGGCATTTGAAAAAGTTCAGCTTGGTGTTAAACGAACATCTCAGCAAACAGAAATGCACAGAAACTCCAAAAGCTATTGGGATTCCACACAAGATGCATGCACACACATGCAGGCTTCATACACATAAAAGCTGATCAATTGAACTAAAACATCAAATTCATCAAATTAGAAACTTGAAATTCGTACTTCTTTAAAATAGCACAGAAAATTCTTAGGTGAGACCACAACCTGAAGGTAGACTTGCATAGATTTCTAAGATGACTGCCTGCAAAGATTACAGAAATGCAAAGTGTGATTTGAATGTTGCACATTCTGCGGTGCAAAG